ATATATATATATATATATATTGATTGGAATGGTTGAATGAAGCATAAATTAAGTGCATATGCATTTTGAATGTATATTGTACTATTGTTTAAGCTCGCACTCTAAAATGCATGAAACAATATTCATTACCCCACGAGGCCAGAAAAGAATTAAGGCATGGTTTACTTACATGGAATTTGTAGTGCCTCACTTTGCACTCGACTAAAGCTGGAACGATGAAAGCAATGAGAAACAGCATTCTAACCCAAGAATCCATTTCATTCAATCTTCACCACCTGATTCGCCTGTGTCAACTTACTTGTAATAATTATTACTTATGTGCTTAAGTGCATTCATGCATGACTAGCCAACACACACACACTAGTTATATATATAGGCTGAAACAGTAGCCACAAATTGCTTCCTCCTGGTTCTTCTTTGGTTATTAGGTGAATGATGGAAGCATATACTTGGAAATTAAGGCTTGACTAGGGCGAAAGAGAAAGGAAAAATAAAACCAAAAAAAAATGTTAAACTCATGATTTCTTGCATGTCACATAAAGTTTGTAATGGAAATCCATGTACGTTCTTCTGTAAGTTAAGTTATTAAACCACCTTAGACACATTTTTTTTTCTGATAAATACAAACTCCTTAAATATTTAGTTGATTAGTTGTATTCTGAGGTTCAACTATTTCTTTCTGTTGCCCCTATTAACTAATTACTAAGCAAAAAAGTTGTTAAACCATGCCAATTAAAAGTTAAAAACACAGTAAACTTGTTTCTGTGGCAAAACCATTCTTCATTTTGGGGCTGACAGGCTGAATCATCCTTTTGCCTGCTGCTGCACGCTACAGCCTATATGTATCATGTAGAATTTTACAAATTATTATGGTTTTTCACTCTTTTAGGTGCATTATAAATAACATTCAGTAATATTAGTTTTTTTTTTCTTCTTTTGGGTGCTCATTATATTACTAATAAACTTTTGTTTATTATGAAATTATGTGTAAGTGTTAGATGAATTTATTTGAATATAAAATATATAATTTAAATACGGAAAAATGTATATACATCAATAAAGTACTTTTATCAATTTGTAAGTTATTATAAATAATTTATGTATCAAATAATTGTAAGAATCTTTTGTCAAATTTACATATCAAATAATTCACTACTGTTAACTTAAAATGTATTAGGAAATGTTTGTGTTTCTACATACCTATATGGTTAATAATGTCTTTAAATGAACTTTTAAAGACTTGAAACTCAATCCTTTATTAATCGGATAAGTTTGCTCTTTATATATATATATATATATATAGTTAAATTAAATTAATTTCAAAAAATAATCACCCTCTTTTAACAACAAGTTTGTTCATTCAAAAAGCTCCAGGAAAAGTAATTATTTTCTTAAAAATTAACTAAATAACACTACTAGAAAAATGTCATTTTCTTGCGAATTTTCCTGCAATTCGTAGAAATTTTTTACAAATTTTCCTGCAAAAAAATATTTGCAGAATTTTTTTTTGAATTTTCCTACAAAAAAGATATTCGCAAATTTTTTTTGCGAATTTATTTGTGAAAAATAATTTCTAGATATTTCTTACAAATTTTGCTACAATTTTAATAATCATAGAAAAAATTTTTCATGTTCAAAATTTGCAGAAAATATTGTGAGAATTTTATTTTATTTCTTGCAGATTTTCTTGCAAAAATAAATTCGCAAGTAATGTTTACTAAATGGTAGAAAAATTTTGCAGATAACTTTTCCTGAGGATTTTCCTGCAAATTTAAATCCGCAGAAAAAATAAAAAAAAAATATTTAAATTTATAAGTTTAATATTTTAAAAAAACTTCAAGTCCCACATCGATTGAAAATAAAACAATTAAAGAGTATATAAGTTGGGGCAACACTTACCTTACAAGTTGATTTGTATGGCTGAGTGTTAAGCTTATAATCTACAATCTTAGAATTTAAATGATTATGTATCACATGTTTAGGATAAATTCATTGTGAACATTTGAAAGTTGAAGAATTATTGATAGAATTTATAGTAATTTCTTTAATTTTTTTATAAAAAATATTCTTGCAGAATTTCTTGCGAAAAAATTCGCAAGAAACTTTTCTTCGAATTTTTTTTTACAGGAAACTTTTCTGTAAATTTTTTTTGCAAAAAATTTCACAGGAAAATTTTCTGCGAATTTTAAAATTCGTAAAAATATATTATCCACGAAGGTATTATCTGCAAATAAAATTTCGCAAAAAAAATTGTAGGAACAATGTTTCCTGCGAATTTTTATGAAAAATTCACAAGAAAAGTCGCACTTAATAAAAAAAAATCTAGTAGTATAAAATATACACATACTAATTTAAACATGTGTTTTCTTTAAGAATGTCTAGTGTAGTATCTAGAACTTATTATATCCTGCCAATTAAGAATTGAAATGATGCAATATAGACCTATTTGCTTACTACTTTTCTTAAACAACAATTCTTATATATTTCTTTAAAAAATCATTTTTTTTTCAAGTTTAAACTAATTAGCTCATATATGAAGATTTGCTAATGTATAATTACGTATTTTTTAGTTAAAATACATTAGAAAGTTAAATATTGAGTACATTATAAAAAAAAATTGTAATTATAGTTTACTAAGTTTCTTAAAAAAAAAGTGTATATTATAGTAAATTTTATAAATATTTACTTATGCATACTCATTTTTCTAATTAAGATGTTAGTAATTACACCGCAGGTGTATATTTTAAGATAATTTTTTATTCTAAGATAATTTTAATCATAAATTATTTACTTACTTGGAAGAAAGAAATTAAAATTAAATGGATGAACATTAACGAGTCCTAAAATTTCTCATTTTCAAAATATATGTGTTTTATTAAATATTTTAAAATAATTTAATTATTAAATGTAGATTTCCACTAAGAGATAGATAAACACATAAAATGACGTCGTATAGTCTTGAACAGGGTTACCTTCAGGAGAGAATATCTATAGCATATCTATATGAAATGTCATGTAAAACGCCATACATTTAGTAAATCTATATTACAGTTTAAAATCTAATGATAATGAATGTGTAATTTTAAATAATATTACCAAAACTAATTATGCATTATATTTAGTATATATTAAATACTATATAAGAAAAAAAATATTTATATACTTATGTAGATGTAGATACTATATGTTAATAATATTAAATACTACATTAATACTTTTCTTTTACTTAATTATATAAATCGATAAGTATTAAACTGATAAGTCATAAACTCATTAAAAAAAATTCTCACTAAGTACAGAACACAAATTAATTAATAGAATAATTAATTAAGGGAGAGATATTAAAGGGTATTAAGCATTTACATTATAAATAATAAGATGAGCCTAAAATTAAGAATATCATAAATAAAGTGACTATATATGTACATGAACAGTGTGTGTTTGATGCACAATAAAAATTAAAATTAAAATTTTAGATGAGAAGAAGCTTAAAGACTTAATTAGGTAACATGAAACAAAACTATCAATTAATATGACAAAAACATAAATTTTGTAATAAAGCAGTGTAGTTTAGATAAATCATAATCGTATTACATTCAATGGTTCATGTAAATCAAGCGAATCATAGTGAATGGTCAATTTAATTTTGGTTTAATATAATTCAAAAGTCGACCAATCACAAATGTGAGAGATGGGTCTATTAGGATGTGAAATTGGCCAAAATTTTTTTTTAATGAGATTAGTTAATGACAATATGAAATTTATCAATTCTTTTTTATTAATGGAAATCAAATAAGTTAATGGGAGTGGATAATAATTTACACATATTGCTCAGCCAACTAAATTGACCCCTTGATAAGTTTAAGCTAAAATAAATTTTTAGTCCACCTACTCCATTCTAAAACTTTTTTATTTTATTTTTGTCCTTATCGTTAAATTAACTATTAAATATAATAGAGAAAGACCGGAAATTTATAGGAATCAAAATAGAAAATTCATAATATTATAAGGACTAAAGTTTAAGATGACCAAAATGAAAATAATACAAATTTGAGAGGATTAAAATGAAAATAATACAAACTAACAGGATTAAAGTAATAAATAATTAAAATTAAAATGATTAAAAAAAACTTATCTTATAGGAAATTATATATTTATTTGAGTCAAATTTATAAAATTTAAACTTTTAAATACAATAAATACATCAATACAAAGTAAAACTAATGAAAAAATTATAAAAAAATAAATAAATAAATTCACAACTTCATAAAAGTCATACATTAATGATATAATAACCGTTACGAATGTACGAAAGCTAAATATACCAAATAAGTAGAAAAAACTAAATTAACATAAAATATATAAAAAATAATAATTAATAGCACATGAACATGAAATAATAAAAAAAATAAAAGGAAAAATGAAAAAAGTTTACATTATCATTCTTTCTACATCACACCAATATTTCTTATAGATTACATTAAATATTTTTTTATTATTATTTTATACTGTGCTATCAATTATTTTGACATTTATGTCATATTTTATATTTTTTTTTATTCCTTATTTGTTAGATTCCCTTCTCAAAGATGATTACAATAATTATTATCGAATTTTTATGAAAATTTATTTTTAAGGCTTAATTATTTTTTAACTGTTTTGTTTTAGTCTTTCTATTTTAATCTGTATAATTTTTTTCACTTTTTTATTTTGTTTCTTATAATTTTCTTATTTTAAAAAAATTTTATCCACATATTTCTTTTTTGATTTTTTTCTACTAAATTTAATAGCCTATCTAACTAAAATGAAGAAAATAAAAGAAAAGACTCTCACAGGAATAAAAAATTGAAAGTATAAAAACACCTTATCTTACATATTCCCGAAAGTTATTTAAGTCGATCGTAAATTTATCAATACCCACTTATTAAATTGGTGACCAACATTTTGTGTAGCTACCTAGAAATAATAGAAAGAGTGATTTTGCAGGGAATTGGAATTAGTTAAAATATTTAACATATCGGAATTTCATATTTAATAAATTATAAATAGATATACATCGTTAATTATATATATATATATATATATATATAATGTTTCTTGTTTTCTTTGTGTGTGTATATATAATTTTATATATATATATATATCCCTCTTTTTATATATTTGTATATATATATATATATTACAATTTCAATCTGATAAAATATTTTTTTATAGTTAATTTTATTCGTCCTCTTGAACACGTTTGCATTAAAAATTCAATGATCTATTATTATAATATATGAATACGCTAATTAATTTCTATAAAATAAAATGAAGGAATAATACGCCAATTTTGTAACGCG